TTTTAGTAGAGACAGGGTTTCACCATATTGGCCAGGCCGGTCTCAAACTCCTGACCTCGTGATCCTCCCGCCTTGGCCTCCCAAAGGGCTGGGAATAATGCCTTCTTTTAAACCATCTTTTAAAGAGTCATTGTTTTATATATATCTTTGTTTAAAAATCATCTCAAGAGTACCCTGAAATCCAGTAATAACACATAAATTAAATAGTAGAAAGATAGGCAAAAAGTAGCAGATAGACAGAGACAGAGCCACAGTGACAGAAACAGAAAGAAAACTATTATGTTGATTCTTTTTAAACATTCTCCATCAGCTATATATCCAGCACAGTTCCCAATATGACTAGTAATTCAATCTTATTGAATACTGACCATGGATTAGACATTGTACCAGATGCCAGTGCTATAAAGTTAGAACTTGATTCCTGTTTCTAACAGCTTTCATTCTAGGAAGGAACTACTTGTAAATTAATCCAACAAGTATATGTGTATGCCCAAGAACAATGCCTGGTAAACAACAAGTACTATGTATTTATCATTTTTATTATTTTATATCAGATTTGATACATGATATTTCTTATCAGGAATTCACTCTTGAAATCAGACCAGTAACTTTTGAGGCTGTCTTTTCCAACTTTTCAATAAGACACAGAAAAATAAGAAAACGTCCAGATTGATCAATAAACACTTGTTAAAATTCTAAAAGTGCTCCCACTATCTATATACTAATATATCTATATAGTATAGATATATTAGACTACAATTAGGTAGATAGACTACTATTAGACTATTAGGTAGGTAGATTAGATTAGACTACAGAAAATAATGTTTGCCATGACTTTGTATTGCTTCATGAAAAAGGAGAGTCCTATATGCCTGAAAAACAGAAGAAAAGATATTTTTTCTCTCCTTCTGACTGCTCTCTCATCGGACCAATGGTTACCTGTTCAAATGAGGTTCTAGGCAGCCATCCCTCAATTCAAAAGTTCTTCTCTTTTTGTGCTAACTAGAGAATTGATTCTATCCTCCCCACAAAATCTTGATACTTATACTAGATTGCAACCAACAGCAACCTGCCAGGTAGGAAGTTTATAGGAAATTTGTGGGGATTCCATGATACCTGGAATATCTCCCACAAACAAAGCAGTAGAGGGACAGAAAACCCCACAGTTGCAGAAAATGCTATGGGTTTTCCCATTGTGGCATCAGGTCAGAGGATCAGAAAACAAAACACCGGCATAGGTGAAACTTCTACCTCAATCAAGCATATCCATGGATATCTGCTAGAAATTGAGAATTATACTAGCAGCAATGCCCATGTACTTGCTATCAGTTCTCACTGAGAGTGAGCAGAATCAAGGCAATTCAACAACCCAGTTGGTAAACATGTGGTCAACATTCCTCTCTTCTTCAAGAGCAAGTAAAAAAAGAAAATACAGAATACATGACAAAATGTTGACAAAAAAGGGAACAAATATATTAATATAAAAACTAAAATAAATAGTATGCTTTCTGCAAGTAATTCACTTTAGGAACCAGAAAAAATAATTTAAAACTTTGACAATCTTAATATGCTGCAAGAATACACAGACTCAATGAAGCAAGAACATACAGGTAAAGAGAAAACAAATAAGATGAAAAGAACAGTAAGATAGGCTGCAACATCAACACGTTTAGATGAAGATGGATCCAGGTATGATAAGGAAAAATCACAAGGAAATTAAAATGAGGATAGTTGACTAAGCAATTCCACGCCTAGCTATTTATCAAAAAGAAATGGAAACATGTACACAAAAAGACTTGTGCAAGAGTATTCATAGCAGTTTTGTTCATAATGACCTCAAACAGAAATAGTACAGGCTCATCAGTAGAAATAGATGTTACAAAAAAATTTGTGGTATGTGCATATATGGCATACTATTCAGCAATACAAAAGAATAAACTATGAATACACACAAAGCATCATGTAATCTCAAAAACTTTATGCCGTAAGAAGGGTGTTACCAAAAAAATGCAATTGTGTGATCCCATTTATATAAAATTCTAGAAGAGGTAAAACTAATCTATGGTAGAAAAAATTAGAACAGTAGTTGCCTCTAGAGGGTGATTGGGAGAAGAGCATAACTAGAGAAGACATAGAAGAGCTTTCCAGGGTGGAGGTAATATATCTTGATAAGTGGTTGGGTTACGTAGGTGTTTGCATTTGTCAATACTCAAGAAATGTTTATTTAATATTTGTCCATTTCTTTGTAGGTGAATTTTTTACATTAAAAAAACCTTGAAACAAATAGTGAATTATGATTAACAATGTGCATGTTATAATAATTTGGGGGAAGTCTGCAGAGGTCCACAATTTACTTTTAAATATATAAAAATATGATGGATTAATGAACAAATAGACAACTGGATGGATATGTGAAAAAGCAAGTTTAGGAAAATATTTATGGAGACTCGAGGCAATGTATACATGCGAGTTCACAATAAAGTTTTTAAACTTGACCATATAACTTAATTTTTATAGTAAAATGTAAGGAACATAACACAATAGCATAATTGAAATCACTATTGTTAAGAGGTTTATATAGGGAGAATTCAAAGTAACATAGAGAAAAACTTCAAGGATGCAAAGGAAAAGGACAAAGTTATGAAAATAAGAGAAAAAGTGAAGGATATAAAAAGCAAAAAGCAACCTAAATTAGAAAACCAATTAAGAATAAAGGGGTGATAAAACTATTCATATTTGCAAGCAACAACTCCACACTGTCTATAAAATCAATTTGTATTTTAAGAATCAATGAGAATCAAGTAAATGATCCGATATATCCTTTTCAAAACAAAAACAAACAAAAAATTACAGCTTTTCCACACTGATAATAAATAGTTTAGAAGACATTATGGGGAAAGCATCTTAATCAAAATATCAAGGAGAAGGAGGAGGAGGAAGAAAGGAGGAGAAGGAGAAGAAGAGAGGAGGAAGAAAAGAAGAGAGCGAAGGGGAGGAAGGAAGAGGAGCTGAAAGAGGAAGACATGAATATAGTTAATATGTAAAATAAAAACTATAATACAATTAGAATTAAATAGAAAAAAATAATTGCTATTGCTAGGTAAAAGGTTTACAAAGATGTCAGTTGTTCCCAAATGGATTTTCAGGTTTAATGTAATCCCATGGGATGGGAAGTGGCAGTGGGATGTTCAGATAGGCTCCATGCAATAAACTTTAAAGTTAATTTGAAAGAATAAACAGCAATGAATCACCAAAATTTTTTTGTAAGAATTACAATGGAAACATTTTAAATCTTTAAACCGAAAGAAAAATGAGAAATCATTCTATCGGATGTTTAAATAAAATTCTACAAAGCTATAATATAAAACAAAATGGTTTAGTCTTGTAATTAAGGAAAATAAGTACATAACATGAAACATACTCTTATAGATGAAAAAACTTTATATGTTTTTATTAAAGAAAATATTTTTAAAACAGGAATATTGAAAAAAGAATGCTGGGAAAGTGAACTATAAAGAAAAATAATTTATCTTAAATCACAAATTAAATAAATAATTCAGGTGTATTGAACATAAAATATAAAAGTACTTAGACTCTAAAAGAAAATATAAGTAAACGTAAGTTTTTAATGTAAGAAATTTATAGGCATAAAGAAATGATAAAATAATAAAATGATATATTTGATCAAACAAAATTAGAAATGTCTATACATGAAAAACATGTTTAAAAATAACTAATAGACAAAGGACTTAGTTCATCTCTATATAAAGAGATTTTGCAAACAATAAAATTTCTAATGTCCTATCAACAAATATACAGAAAGCATAATTTTTTACAGAAATATATAAATTGTTACTATCTGAAAAATAGTCAAATACTGTATACATCAAAAGATGTAAATTAAAGCAAAAATGTGATGCCATTTTGTCCACTAACATGGGCAATTTTTAAAAATGCTAATATTAAGTGGCAGGGGGCGGGGGGGCACCAAGATGGCCATGAGAAGGCAACACCGGTATGCAGCTCCCAGTGAACAAGACACAGAGGGCTAGAGGACTTCACGATTCCAAACGAGGTGCTGGGTTCATTTCGGTGGGACTGATAGGGCACTGAAAATAGCCCAGGGAAGAAGCTGCAGGGCGAGAGCCACCTGGAGGGCAAATCAAGATGTAGAGGGGCACATTCCCCACCTGAT